ACTAACAACTAGCCACCCATCATGGTAACTCCACTAACAACCAGACAAACCCACCATGTTATGTTCTAATCCTACTAACAACTAGCCACCCATCATGGTAACTCCACTAACAACCAGACAAACCCACCATGTTATGTTCTAATCCTACTAACAACTAGCCACCCATCATGGTAACTCCACTAACAACCAGACAAACCCACCATGGTAGGTCCTCTGACAATCATTCAAACCCACATGGTAGCCCCTCTAACAACTATTCAACCCTAGATGGTAGTCACTTTAACAACCAGACAAATCAACCATAGCTCCATTCAATATATTAGCCAGATTTTTATCCTACCAGTGACTAGTTCTGCATTTTTTCTAGTATTTTATGACACAACTTCAGTATTAATTTCTTTTAAACTTGGTTTTTTTAACTCACCCTGTTTAGTTTCCTCAGCATCACTAACTGTATCTAAACCAATCTGTGCTGGGCTAACTGTAGGCGAAGTATCACTTGTTCCATGTTTAACATCAACAGATACAGGTTCTTTATTTATATATGAGTTTTACATCGACAGTCACACGTTTCTTATTTTGATAATAGTTTACCGTCATCAAACATATTCGTTTTTAGTATTTTCTAATCATTAGTCATGGGATTGTTTTTAATCAGATTACCAGTCACATGTTCTTATGTATTTATGTTGTTATTTTTGTATTTCCAGCTTCAAGAACCTTCTCGCGTGTCTCACTTAGTCCTTATGATGTTCCCGGGGCTGCTCGACGTCGGTCCTCTGCCGCTGTTGTAGCTGCCACACCATTTGAAGAAGCACATCAACAGATACAGGTTCTTTATTTTTATATGTGTTTAACATCAACAGATACAGGTTCTTTATTTTTATATGTGTTTAACATCAACAGATACAGGTTCTTTATTTTTATGACAGATACAGGTTCTTTATTTTTATATGTGTTTAACATCAACAGATACAGGTACTTTATTTTCATATGTGTTTAACATCAACAGATACAGGTTCTTTATTTTATATGTGTTTAACATCAACAGATACAGGTTCTTTATTTTTATATGTGTTTAACATCAACAGATACAGGTTCTTTATTTTTATATGTGTTTAAGATGTTAAACACAATAAAAATAAAGAACCTGTATCTGTTGATGTTAAACACATAAAATAAAGAACCTGTATCTGTTGATAGTAATTGATACAAAAACCAGAGCAATCAGTGAGATTGCAAACCCTCACCCTGCCTCATATATTGAATAACGTCAAATTTCACCCTTGAAAACCCTTCTCAAATCCAGAATGATCGAAGATCCAGATCATTTTTTGTAGTGAGATGAGGGGTCTCAACTTTAATGTGCCCATGAAATTTGGGTACAAGTCCAATCACACTTTACAGAGTTATTAACCCAAAATTGAAAAATGCCCTATCTCCCCATTATAAAAAGATGTTTCAAAGTGATCCAGAATCCAGATCTGGACCAAATTTGGGAAGAATTGTTCCACCTTGACTTGAGGGTAATAAGGAACCTGTATCTGTTAATAGTAAACTCTAATGATAATAATATTTTAATTGACATTTATTTGAGAGAAGTATGGGAAAAAAAAATAAGTCTGTAATTTAATGAGGATATAAGTTTACCTGGGATGTGTCTGAGACAGTATGAGAGGCAGGTGATCTGTCCGCACTGATGATAGCAGACTGTTCACTAGATTCTCCTACATCATCATCTTCTACAGAACCCTTTTTCACTTCTTCAACAGCATACTTCAGGTTACTCTTCAAAGTTTGACTCAACAACTACAGGTACAAACACAACAGATGATGATTTAAATTCAATGCTAGACAATAAATTTAAAATGTTTCTTCTAGTCAAGTACTAAAGATCGTAGACAATTTATTCTTGAGATATTACCAAAAGCTCGATTCTTTACACGAGTACTGCTGGTGGTTACCCACCAAACTATTAACATACATAATGTCGCTTATTAACAATTACAAAGATTACTTTCACATGCAGGCACTAGAGGTCACTGTGCAACTAAAGCTGTATTAATGACTATTTGTGAATGTTTTTAAATGATGTTTCTCAGTGGATTTTTTTACTTTATTCTTTGCCTGTTGTTATACGTATTAGGCACATGCATAACGATGAAATATTTTGTACGATAATCATATATTCTGGCAAACTGAAAATTATTTATGTTTCTAGTGAATACAAGTTATTATATTCTAAATATCTTCAAGTTGTAAAAACAAAACAAAAAAAAACTCACAGCATTCAGTCCCTTCTCTCTCACTTCAGAATCGTCGTCGTCAAGAACACTCTTCTTGGGAGATAAATCTAAGTCTAACTCGTCATCGTGAAATTCTTCAAACATTTGGTAATCACCGGAACGTATGGCTAGAAAGGCCCACAACATGCTTTTTTATCAATGTTAAGTTAAGAAATATTTGGTTTATCCCCTAATGGATTTGAGATTTAGATTGGTTCATTTATAAATAGTACAAACAATAATTTGAAATGTAAAATAAATAAAAGTTTGATTAACTTTTATTTCAGATTAAACATTAATTTTATATAACTATTCAAACTATTTTATTTTTATAATTTATCCCAACTTAGTGTTATAAAGAACAAAATTTATAATATTTTTACCAAAAAGAAACGAGTCTTGTAATAAACAGATCCAACAAAACACATTATAATTTAAGCACATTTGAGAAATACATAAACATGGCAACACAAACGGAAAGGAAGGTCGTTTAGAATTATCTTTAAAGTGGAGAAAAAATTTCAATTGTTCTTAAAAAAACCATTAAAAATACTTTTTTTTAGGAAGTATACTAAGGTCTTTGCTATTAGGATAAAATTATCTAGGAAAAGCAGAAGGCAGTTCTTTACTGATTTTCAATTGCAACTTAAAAAATGTGGTGAATGCCAATAACCAAAAAAAAAAAAAAAAGTAAAAAATGTCAAATAAACCTAACATAAGAAGCTAATAATGGGAACCAAGGAGATTCGTGTAGTTTTGTTATAATAATTTCAACACAAACTGTTAACCACTCTCTTTATAACAAGCACTTCAATTGCTGGCAACTGAAATCGAACACAAAAGAACTAAAACTAGATCATTTCTCTTCAAAACAAAGAAAGGAATGGCTATTTCTTCTTTAGCTCACCTTGACAGGTAATTGGTAATAGATGTGATAATTACAAACGACCCCGAACACCAACGTGCTCAAGGAGACATATTCCACACCACGCAAATAAAGACACAAAACATAACAATAGAGAAAAAAAAAAAACGAACACAGAATGTGGAATTATGACAAAACCATGAACTACACAGAATTCGTGAACATAAAGACAAATGTTAGATTCATGCTGAACTCAAACAGAAGAAACTGCATGCTTCTGGAAGTTTCTAACACGTTCTTACAGTAAAATGTTTAGAAGGAACAAGTGATCCAATAAGTGTTTAGTTACATGCTTCATGAGATGAAGGGACTAGGGAAACAGCTGATCGCCGAGAATAAGTACGGCGGGGTGGAACTGGGTGGTGAACCCACCCTTGTGGATGAGCTGGTATGCCTCCTGGATATGGTGTCTGAAAGAAACCTTGTTGGGCTACATTGGTGGCAACAGGGTAGGGAGGGGGAGAAAACACTGAACAGGAATCTTCTGATGGCGAGAGTACCCGTCCTTGAGCAGAATGATGAAGGTGATGAGACGGTTCGCCCATGGAAAAACGTGGTTCCATGTAGCTCTCTAGGTATGTGGTGAATGCTGCTGAGCTGGGGGACAGGGTGGTACGTGGTGGGGAGGGAACCAATGGAGGAGGAGAGACAGGCTGTTCTGTTTGAGGAGAAGTTGTGGCTGAGTACAGAGGAGTGGAGTAGGAGCCAAACTCTGCTCCTAGAGAGCCAGGAGACAGTGAGGAGAAATGGAATGATACGTTAATAACAAACATGACATACACAAAACATCCGTTTCAAAGCAAGAAAATAATACCTTGAAACATCTTTTACACATTCAACGAGAGCATAGAACATTTATTTGTAAATATCAACATTATTAACATCAAACATTTACATGTGACTACCAACCAAATCCTACAGAAACACATTTATTTTATTTAAATATCGTACAATGCATTTTACTTAAACAGACGTACACAATGTTCACTAGCAATGCAGTTCACAGTTACACGTTAACACTGACCATTTAAACATATTAATATAAAGCAAACCGATTATATTAAACTGCAAGAAACAAATACAATAGCCATTATTCTACTGCAAAACCTATATCTGTAGAATTGTTACTGTGTCTCAAAACTAATCCCGGCTTTTGTTATCGTGTTACGCCAATAAACAATACTGCGTGTACAGCTTTAATTTGGAACAATATAAGGAACAACAGTTGTTGTCTTTCTGACAATGATTCCCGACACATGCAAGGTTAGAAACATGTCAGTTAATATCACACGTCACAAAAGCATTTGACATTTTTTTTATTGTTTCCCGACTTTCCTTAAAGTCGAAACTAAAAACAAAAAGCATGGCCATTTTTTGCAAGACACTGATTTAATAGGCATACCACTTCGGAATTCACCATGTTTTTCAATCAGTCTAGGCCTAACAACATTGCTGACTTTTCTGTCGAGTAAAGGCCTGCTAACACTGCCACCAACTAGTTCACAATGTTCAACGTCATCATTTGTTTCGGAACCTGATCGTTTTTTCAGTGAAAAACCCAAGGTAGTGTATGAACTTTTTACAGAAATTATAAACACCATATTTATAAAAACAGAAAATAACTGCCGTTAACCTTTTAGGCTAACATTTCATAAAATAAAATAATGAACTTAAATAGCAACTAACAAAATGTTTCTCTTCCTACAGAAAGGAGTATACAACATTAGGGATCAGTAGTTCACACATACCCGCATCAAACAAAACTGGGGAGATTTAAATAGCTTATCAAAACAACCAATCAAGATAAGTTTCGAGACTACAGATGACCCTACTCTGTCGAAGAAATGAAGTAAAAGATATAACAATAATTCTGTGAAGCAGGTTTTATAGTGGCATCTTTTTCGTGTACTAGCTCACACCAGCTTCGTTTTTTTTAAAAAAAAGAACTGACACGTTCTTTAACTTCATTAGTTTTCTGCACAGTATACTTGAATCCTAACTTTGAGTTACTGAAGAAACTTATAATTAAAATACTTGTTATATTTCTAGGCTAATTTTAACCATTAATTGTTAAATGTTGTAAGAATATATATCACGTTGCTTCTTAGAGAAATATGATAAACACTTATTATAATAACAAGTCATTCTCTTGGTCATTAACTCAACACATCCACTTTTGAGAACCGGTTGATAACGCAGTCAAAGGTATCAAAAGTCTACCATTTAATGTTTTTTGTGTAACTTTCCACTTCAGATAGAATTATATTCACATCAAGTTCTAAGCTACAGAAAAGACAAGCACTAGTATGAAAATAGCATAAACATATAATTAAGTTTGACAACCTTACTAACCCTAAATAGATGAAGCGGTTTACGATACGTAACATCTTAGAATTTGTTACAGGTCTAATAAACTGCCTCGGGCTAATGAATGTGGCTTCGTCAGCCGTATCGAATCAACGAGAAAACAGTTGAATAGTATATTATGGTAAAAATAGGAGTACAAAAAAAAAATTAAATTACCGGTATACCATACTTTGAGTGTTATGATAGGTGGAATCAGATGCTACAAACACCTACAGAGGTCGTTACAAAGCTATATATTTTCAATAAAAAAATGACAGAAGACCTTACAAGAACAGTGCAGTCAACAGTAGTCTGGTCTACAGAAGATACTTTTTATGCTGTTACAACACGTACTTAATACAAATTAAGCAAAGAAAACTATAAATAAACTAATCCCTGACATGATTGGTGATCAAAGTAAACTGGACAGGGGTTGTTGTTGTTGTGCAGTTACTTATAATGAATAACGTGTAACAAACTTATATGTGCACAATAACCTAAACAATTAATTTGTATATTTAATAAATACGAACATGTTTTGTATTATTGTAGTACAATGAGAAATTTCATCTCAAGTGCAGAGTAACACGAAACATACGAACATCACAACTTAGAACTTTTCTGACTTACAGCCACTTTATCCTGCTGTATTCAACAGATATTATATACTAGCTGTTTCGCATTAAATAACCTAATTAATAAATGTTAGGAACAACAAGATCCTTGACACTGCCGAGAGCTGACTTTAAGCTTCTTAATCAGCCAGTAATTAGTGTAAAACTCTTAAACACTAGATGGGATTAAAGGTATTTCTCTAACAATGCTAAGTAAAAAGTTGCTTACTTATATATATGCCCCTCCCCACATTAAATAAAATTTGTGGTTTGGCACCACTGCTTAAAAACTGTTTATAGTTGACTTTATTTTGTTGATAACATTAAACATGAAAGTACCTTACTGTATATAATTAACACAACAGTATCTTTACTTATGTTGGGTTGTCTACTGCTTCTCTTATCAGATGTTTATGTAAGCAACAGTATCTTTACTTATGTTGGGTTGTTTACTGCTTGTCTTATCAGATGTATATGTAAGCAACAGTATCTTTACTTATGTTGGGTTGTCTACTGCTTCTCTTATCAGATGTATATGTAAGCAACAGTATCTTTACTTATGTTGGGTTGTCTACTGCTTCTCTTATCAGATGTATATGTAAGCAACAGTATCTTTACTTATGTTGGGTTGTCTACTGCTTCTGTTATCAGATGTATATGTAACCAACAGTATCTTTACTTATGTTGGGTTGTCTAGTGCTTCCCTTATCAGATGTATATGTAACCAACAGTATCTTTACTTATGTTGGGTTGTCTACTGCTTCTCTTATCAGATGTATATGTAACCAACAGTATCTTTACTTATGTTGGGTTGTCTACTGCTTCCCTTTTCATCCACAGATTTTTAATTTTACTCTTTCAATTAAGTTTAAAAACTTGCACTGCACGAAAACAAGACTTGAATTCCACATACAACAGAATTATCCATGCATTTTTGTTGACTTACCACCATTTCAATGCCATCTGTTTACAAACCTTGAATATTGGTTTAAGCCAAAGCTGAGGGATTTTTAGGCCTACGTATACTTTACTGCCTATTTCTATATTTCTTCATCTAAAAGTTAATACATATTAAATTGTGTAAACCAATTTCCAAACATTCCATCCATTAAATGAAAAATATTTCAATGTCATAACCTTAAAACGTACCAAACATAACATCTATATCTCTGACAGTAATTAAAACAATAAGCCATAATATTTCTACTTTGAGCATTTTTTGGATGGATGTGTGATAAAAACATCAAAAACAAATTCATACAAAAATGATTTTTTAAACAAAAACAATATAAATTAATATTCAGATGTTCATTAAATAAATACAATTTAACAAGCAGTACTCTGGAGAAATATCAAACACAGTTCATTTTAACAGTTAACACCAGACAATAGTGTCTTAGCTTACCACGGAAATGGTCTTCAGGTTCCTTGTATTTTCCTCTGGTCTTCTGTTGGTGTGCTCTGATTCTATCCATCTTCATCTTGATCTTCTCCATGATCTCCTTCTCTGCAACCTGCTGTTCCTGAACTTCTTTCATTTGGATTTCATTTATGAGTTCAGCTCCTCTAGTGTGCAAAATAAATAAAGCAAGTTGATATTCTCATACAATAAACTTAATGTTGACTATAAAACAGAACAAAAATTTAAACTATCACTTTTATAAAAACTATTTGTCCAGTGATCACGTTTTAAACCCAGGTAACAGAAAGTCTTGTATATCCACAAAACATCATATACAACTACAAGAAATCCTTAGTTATTGAAAACAAATTTTAATTATTAGAGAGAACCTGAGTTTGGAACTAAATAAATACCGTCTATATTGCTTTAAAAATATCATAAAACACCGAGTGCAGGACTTGTTTGTACTGGGTGCTGTTACTATTCATCATCAATGTAGGCCTAGGATACAAAGGTAGTATTTTGACAAATATATTTTGGTCAAGCTCCATTTCTATTTAAAAACTAAAGTTTGTTTTCAATAACAATAGAGTTCTTGTCTTAATATACACAAATAAAAAAAAGACCTTTTGTGATCTTAATAGTTTTCTGTCACAAAACTCCTAGATAGTCCTACACTGAACTACTGACGAATCTACAAATGTACATTGTGACTGTTGCACAAATACCTCTCAGAAAATTTGCCCTGCTAGCCAGACAGACAGCCGTGCCCTTATAAAAAAAAGGGGATTCTTCTTTCAGGATTATAACTAACATTTCCACGTGGCTCTTTAAAACACACACACAAGAAGATAATGGTAAATGAGTAAAACTCACCTGGACGCTAACATCTGTTGAGCACGGATCTCTCTCACCAAGTGCTGAAAGTAAAAGCTACAAAAAAGTCTCTTCTGCAAAAGTAAAAATCCAAAACAAATACCATCCCACAAAAGTCCAGCCTCATCAATAGGAACGGTACAGTCTTCTTCAGGTATCTGTTTGTTTATGTCTGAGGAATTAAGTAAAATATATTAAATAACAGGAATATGAAAACAATGGTATTAAATGAAATAAGAGGTGAAAAATAAAAATAGCTTAAAAAATCAGTTTACTCATGTATAACCAATATTTTAAAGCATTCAAAAAATGAATTTTTAAACAAAATTGCAAAAAAAGTGACAATTTTTAGAAAGCAATGGGATTTCAAATGTAATCTTGTTTTTATTCTTATATACCACAAATTCAATGTTATATGGCAGAAGTGTATATATTGGCTGTTGTTAATTCTCCTTGAGCTTAAAGTTTTTAAAAATTTATTTATGAATTTCAATCGTATCTCGTTTCACTTTCATGTATAGAGACAGTAAGAAAGATTTGATGTATCTTTGTTACTCCTTCTCATAAATCTTTCTTACTGTCTGATGTATC